CGGACCCCCCAAAAAAATTTAAAAAATAGAAAAAACCATCTCCCAGATGGAGTAGCTACTCTATTGATAATGACTTCCCAACTCTGGGCCCAAGTCATATCTACCACATCACAGAAAATTGTCACAGTTCCTGAAACTACTGAGCATGGAGATATATACTGATTGGCTGTATTAATGACAAGGCAATGGTGAGCAAATAGGCAGTGGGAGCAAACTGTAATGGTGGGTTGAGCATGTGTATCTCCATACAGCAGTTAGCCTACCTTCTTGTCCTCAGAGGGAGAACTAGGACTCAGAATTACAAAGAACTCAGGAAGATTTGTAAGTCAGGTTACCATTAAGGTCTGGTGTGTGTGTTCGTGTGTGCGCGCATGTGTGTGTCTATGAGTGTGCATGTGTGTGTGCCAGCTGGGGCTTGAACTCAGGGCTTGAATACTATCCCTCAGCATTTTTCAACACGAGGATAGTGCTCTACCACTTGAGCCACAACTCCACTTCTAGTTTTTTGGTGATTAATTAGAGATAAGAGTCACACAGTCTTTCCTGCTCAGTGTCACATCAAACCACAGTTCTCAGATGTCAGCCTCTTGAGTAGCTAAGATTACAGACACGAGCCACCTGTGCTCAGCTCATTAAGATCTATTTTAACTGAGAACCTGGTTTTGTTCATCAGTATCTCAATATGAGATCAGTATCTCCAATATGAGACAGCTCTTGGTGGAGTCACAGTTGTTGTGACCTGGGGCTACAGTGGCATTGGTACATCAAAAGCTAAAAGAAAAATGATAGTTGGTTTTCATCAAGGTGAAAACTTCCTTCTGAGACTGATACTGTTCGGATGTAAAAATGATGCACAGGTGGCAGGTAAGCACACGATGAAGGTACCCAGCATCGTCAGTCCGTCTCAGAAATGTAAATTCAAACCACAAGATACCATTCTGTATCTTTGGATGACTATCTGGGTTAGGAGTGTAATAAATTGGGTGCTTGTGAGGATGTATAGCAACTGTACTCTTAAACATTGCTGGTGGGACTATAAAATTATGCAGCCACTCTGGAAAAAAAGTTTAACAATTTCTTTACAAGTTATAGATACACTTTCCATTTTCCTCAGTATTTGTTCTGGAGAAATGAAATCCACATAGGAATCTGTGCACAAATGTATGTAGTAGCAGGCCAAAGCCTGCCTCCCCTCCACTTTCTCTCTCCATCTCTCTTTCATACTCTTCCTTCCTCCTTCCCTTCCTCCCTTTTTTGTCATTGCTGTAGTTTGAACTTAAGGCTTCATACTCAACTGCTACAAGCGTCACATCTCCAGCCCATTTTGCTTTAGTTATTTTTTATTTAGGTTGTCAGCTTTTTGTCTGGGGCTGGCCTTAGACTGATATACTCCTCTGGCCTTCTCCATGCTGAGATTACAGCTATGTATCACCACCCTAACTTCCTTGTCTAAATAGGATCTTGATAGCTTTTTGCCTAGGATGGTCTCAAATTTCTGTTCTCCTAGTCTCCACCTCCGGACTAGTCACCAAAATCATGAAAGAACTCAAATGTCCTTGAATAAATAAGCTAATTGTTTTATATCCCTCTGTGGAACGCTTTTCAGCAACACATAGAAATAAATAGCGTATGTAGTGTGCTAAGAGAACACTATCCATTCTCATGGTTACATGTCTAATTGCACGTGCTTTACAACAGACTAGTGAACAAATCCGTGGTTGCCAGAGGTGGAGGAGGTTGGCTTAAGAGGATGTAGCAGTGTAGAGATGGTAGCAGCAGGCTATGCATATGTTAGAACTTGTGAAACTTAAGTCTAAAATCAGTGGATTATCTACTGTGTAAGTATTTTTCTTCAATAATAAAAGAGTTCTTACCTTGTATGTATTTGCCAGTGTATGATACATCTCACATTTGTACATTTCCTGTGTCTAAATTTTGTCTAAAAATGGAAAATTGTCACCCCTAAATGAAGTGTGTGTGGGATATAAAAGAAACTTATTGGTAGTCTAACTAGAAGAATTGTTCCCTGAGGGGTACAAATTTTATTATTGGTAAAGGTCTTTTTAGCAGATTGCCATGTTGTCTAGTTTTCAGGACACTTTATTGTTGATTCACTGATAATGGTAATGATTCCTGATAATTATGGGTAGTTTCTGGCACATGCGCAGTGAACTTTATTGTTGTCTCTTTCTACCACATCAGTTCAGACTATTCCTATCTCCCTTGTCTGTGTGTTTTACTTGTAGCCTGTTAACTGTGGGTGGGAGGTGATAAAGTAGAGAAAAATCTGTCTTAAATGCTTTCTATGCATTTGTCACATTAAAATTTTTTAAATTTTAATTAATTAGTTTGTGGCAATACTGGGACTTAAATGCAAGGTGTGGGTGCAGTCCTTGAGCTTCTTATTTTAACTCAAGGCTGGTGTTCTACCACTTGAGTCACAGCCCTACTTCTGGCTTTTTTTGGTGTTTAATTGGAGATGACAGTCTCATGGATTTACTGCCAGGCCTGGCTCTGAACCAGGATCCTTTGATCTCAACCTCCTGAGTAGCTTTACAGGCTTGAGCCACTGTTCTCTGGTGACACTTAAGATTTAATCATGCTTAAATTGTCTTGACTAGCAGACACAATTGGTTGTGTTAGTTGTGATCATCTTTGGATCTCTAAGCAGAGCCTTTATCATAAGCATTATAGACCATTTGCATTCCTGTAGATTCAATAGATACTGTTTTATACTTTGCACTGGGGTGGCTGTGGGTGATGTCAGACTACATTTGAATTGATCTCCTCTCCATGTTTATCTCTGGTGCATGTGCAATTATTGGAGCACTGGAGAACCTTTCAGAGGCCTTCTGTCAATACTGCTACCTGACAGTCATTTGTATTTGTAAACTGTGCATTTGACACCTGCTGGTCTCTGTTGCATTGGAGCTAGTGGGGAGCCAGAAATGGGTGTACAGTGAAGTTACTGGTTGGTACATCTCAGTGGGAGTTATCGAAGCAAAGAAACAGCACTTTCCAGGACCTCAACAGAGGATGTAAAGAAAGAAACTGGTGATATTAGCACATGCCAAGCTATTCTTGATTACCAAAAATGATTGCAGAAGTCAGTCTATTTTACTCAAAGCATTAAAGAGTGACACCTACATTTTAACCAGAGTTGTTATTTAAATATATATATATAACCAGTTTTCAAAAGTACCAAGGTACAAGGCAGACAACTCATGAGCAGTAGTATAAATCCAGCAGCGGAAATAAAATGTTTAGTTTCTGAAGAAATACAAATTTTCTGAAGAAATACAAATTTTCTGAAGAAATACAAATTTTAATTATCAAAGCATAATGTTTTGTAGATGGAATTCACATACCTTGTCACAAATTCTTACTTTTTAATGCAATGGCCCTATCAACTACAACTCCAAGAAATAGCTTACAAAGAAGAAAACCTACTGTATAAATCTGCGTAGCTCAGTAGGGTAAATTCTACAATCCTGTCTTTGTGCTTCAGGTTTGCCTATACATAATTATGTCAATAGAAAGTGTTTTTGTATTGGTTTCAGGTATCAGGTTCCTGATTTTAATGTTTTAGAGATGTAAGAGTGACTTTTCACAGTTAAGAGAATGCCTTAGTGGCTTATGAAGAACCCCAAACTAAACAAAATAATGGAAAATTTTAAAAGTGTTTCCTGGTGCAAACAAAAGCTGGCTTACTGCTCTTGAGAAGTGCTTTCTCCTCCTCTGTGAAGCCAGCTGGGAAAATTGCACATCTGGTTGCAGCAGCTGGGAAGATGTTTCCCCCTGTGCTGAGGAAAAAACAAAAGTCTATCCCCTAGATCAAACAAATTCTATGAAACTGATTCTTACCAGTAGTGAAAGCCCCTAAGGTCCTGTGTCTCAGAGTTAAGCCTTCAAAGGCTCTACCTACTGGCACTGGGTTCAGATGCTTTTGGAGATTCTGTGTTGCTTGTATTTTTGTTACAAGGTCTTTGTAGAACTATAGTTAACTTTATCTTTTTTTTTTTTAATGCCAGTCCTGGGGCTTGAACACTGGGCCTGGGCTGGGAATGCTGTCTCTGAGCTTCTTTTGCTCAAGGCCTAGCACTCTACCACTTGAGTGAGCCACAGCACCAATGCCAGCTTTTTTTGAGTAGTTTATTGGAGATAAGAGCCTCACAGACTTTCCTGTCCAGTCTGGCTTTGAATCGCAATCCCCTGATCTCCTGAGATCTAGGAGATCTAATAGGTAGAATTATAGTTATGAGCCACTTGGTGCCTGGCAAACTATATCATATTAAATGATTAGCCCCTATACAACTATTTTGTTCTTGAGCCCTGATAACTTAGTGCAGTTTTTCAGGACATAGATTTTGTTTGTTTTTTGCTGGTACCAAGATTTGAACTCGGAGTCTCATGCTTGCTTATCTTTGCTTGCTTAGCTTGTGTTCTATTGCTTAAGTCATGCATTGCAGCCCTTTTTTTTTTTTTTTTTTTTTAGTGGTTAATTGGAGATGGAGTCTCATGCACTTTTTTTTAATCAGGTTGGCTTCAAACCATGATCCTTCAGCTCTCAGTCTCCTGAATAGATAGGATTATAGATGTGAACCCTTGGTGCCTGTCTGGAACATACTTTTTTTTGTTTTAGCTTATACTTACTTTATAATACAGAATATAAAATATATGTCTATATTATTAAAGAAAATATCTAAATGCTCACCAATAAGAATAGTAAGGTAAGTGGGCTCAGCATCTAACCAGACTGTTTTGTCTCTGTTAAAATAGTAACATAGGAACTTTTTCTATAAAGCAAAACTAGAACACAGAAGTGAGTATCTAGGTATCATAATTTCAGTTCTGTAAGAATGTTTGACGTATACTAGCTTGTGATTGTTGGTATGATTGGTGGAATGATAAATACAGTTTTTTTTCTTAATGTTTTGTTTTCATTTGGTAAGATAGAAATGAAGTGTAACAGTTTAATCTAAATTTATACTTGGTTTTAGAATTCCTGGGAAACTCAAGCAATTCGTATTTGACTTACATTCTGGAAAACTGCATAGAGAATTCCATCATGGACCGGACCCTACTGACACTGCCCCAGGAGAGGTAGGACTCTTACTAGTTTTCCAGTGGGAACTCATTGTTTCTATAGTTTTAAAGATCTATGGCCTCTTACTTATAGTTTGAATTTTAGCTTCTCAATATCTTTGTAAAGAAATTCTAACCAGACTATAGGAAGTATGCATGCTTTGTGCTTTTAATTACTGAAATTTTTAGGCCTTCAAAAAAGTTGCCAAGCATTTTAATGTCATTTCTTAATGACCTGAACAAAGATAAACTGAGTGTGATTTCTATATTATGTTAAAGAGTTAAATATAGTTGGCTCACGTAGAAGTAGGAAATTGGGATTGGGAACAGATTTGATCAGTGATGAAATCAGTGGTTTCCAGAACTTGCTTAAGCCTTTTTTTGTGTCTGGAAGATTGACCACAGTAGATAAAGCAATGATGTGTTATTCTTAAACCATTCCAAGATCTTTCACAAACTCAGTGTTGATAGTACTTATTAATTATGGTTTCCAGATTTAGAATGCTTGATGAGTATTTGTCAAATTTTTCATTTGCTCTTGTGTATATTTACTTAATATTTTAATATTTACTTATAAATAAATATTTGTTTACTTATTTATTATCAGTCATCGGGCTTGGGTGCTGGAACTGAGGATCTGGACACTGTCCCTCTGCTCTTTTGTTTAAAGCTAGTACTCTACCACTTTTGAGTGCACAGCTTCACTTTCAGTTTTTAGGTGGTTAATTGGAGATAAAAGTCTCACAGCCTTTCCTGCCCTGGCTGGCTTCAAACCACTCAGTTTGAAGCCTCCTGAATAGCTAGGATCATAAAGTGTGAGCCACTGACATCCAGATTCACAATATATAGATGGACAGATAGGTATTCTCAGAGTTAATATATATGTATAAATGTATAGCTACCTAGTTTTAAAAGCCTGACAATTTTCTATTTCTTTTTTATAAATACTTTTACAATTAATATAAAATCTTTTTTAATATAGTTTTTTATTGAAAAGATACTGTACAAAGGGGTTACAGTTACATTTATAAGGTAATGAGTATATTTTTTATTGAGCATTGTTACCCCCTGCTTTGTTTTTCTCCTACCATCCCTTCTCTCCCCAACTCCTCCCTGCCCCGCCCCTCGCGCCCCCCCCCCCCTCCCGCCAAGTTGTAAAGTTCATTTTCAACATAGTGTCTTTTACATCTCATTATTACAATAGGTCAACCTGTGTCCTTGTTTCGGCATTTTGTTATTTCCCTTCCCCTCCCCATAAAATTCTTTGACTAGACAGGAAATGATATATACCTGAAACCTTTCTATTTTATATGTCTAGAACGTAAATCTGTTATTTTATCCAAAGAACTTCTATTTATGAAGGAAAAGTTAGAATGCTAAATTTTCCCCTATCTTAAGAATCAAATTAGGTTGAGAGTCAGGAGTTCCAGGAATCTGATGACATGCTTTACCTTGAGAAATGAGGTCAGTTTTGTCACTGATGATTAAGCAACTATAGAAAGAGACATATTAGTTAATGGTGATTATTTTCCTAAGTAGGCTTGCTTGATAGGCTGTCAGATTAGGAAAAGATTTGGTTTACTGTTATTGGTGTAATCCAGATATATTTTAGCTTCTTCAACAGACAATGAATGAATGCCTTGTACTTCCCTTATTCACATTTGTGTACTAATATCCCCTGTGCAGCAAATACTGTAAATGTTGTTTTATACTAATATAATTTCAGCTTAATTATATCAAATGTATCTTAGAAGAAAAAATTTTAAAAATATGTTGGAGAAGCAGACTATGGTAAGTCGAAGGGGATGTTTATACACACCGCTTCGATTTTCATGGGAATGTTCTAGTATAAGTGTGTAACACATGCATTGGGCACCCGGTTTGTACAGAGGATATTGAAAAGCTGCACTCTGGGCCACCTCCAGAGTTGCTCACACAATGTGGCCATGAAGGACAGATGACATTGCCTTTTCTTTAGAATTCTTGAAAGTCACATTTTCCTTTATATTCTATTTTTGTCTATTGTTGGTATACATGTAAAATATTACACAAATTAATTTTCTCAGTCCAGTATGTATTTCCTCCTCATTTCAGCCAATTTTTAAATAATTTCTGCCATGCAAGTAATTGATAAGCAGCTGCTGGAGGCCAGGTACAGTGGCTCACATCTGTAATCCCAGCTACTCAGAAGGCACAGATTGAGGCTAGCCCAGGCAAAAAGTTAGAGAGATCTCATCTCAATAAAACAGCCTGGCATGGGGCTGGAGATGACACTCAGCAGTAAGAAAACCTGTCTAGGAGAGGCATTGAGTTCAAACCCCAGTAATGAAAGGGAAGTGTTTGGGACCCACAAAGGTTGTGCAAATTGCTGTGGGCCCTAGTTGATGGTCCTGAGGAGCTTGCCCTGGACCTCTTGTAAAGAGAATTTAAAAGAGGAAATTAAGATCTCAAACATAACTGTGTCCTGGGCAACAGTTGCTATCTTTTGCTGATTAACAATTATAGGGTAACTACCATTTATCTAAGATCCGTATTAAGATGTTATAACTCCTTAAAATATATTCATGCAAAGCTGTTTTATTCTTTCTTTTGTAGCAAGAACAAGACATCGCAAGCAGTCCTCCAGAGAGTTCCTTCCAGAAGCTAGCACCCAGCGAATATAGGTATACTTTATTGAGGGATCGAGATGAGCTTTAAAAACTTGAAAACAATTTGCAAGCCTTTCAACAGCAGCATCGACTTACATGGTGGAAATAGTAAACCTATATTTTCATAATTCTATGTGTATTTTTATTTTGAATAAACTGAAAGAAGTTTTGGGTTTTTAATTTTTTTTCTCCCCCTGACTAAAAATGCATTGTCATTTAATATAGCCTCTTTTAAAAAAAAAAACTGCAAGGGTTTAAAAGAATAATAATAAAACAACAACAACCAGAGGCCTATCTTCTGTTTAAATCTTTGCTGTACAATTTTTATAAACCAGCTGAAAGGTAACATTGCCAGAAACATACCATTAACTCGCACCACTAGGATAGAGAAAATGTAGGGTGTTTCCTGTGTAAAATGTGCTTTTCTTTCTTCTCATCTGATCATGTCTGTTGGTATTCTCATTATCATATTCTAAAAGCTAAGGGGATATATATTCTGGATACTTGGGAGGGGAATAAATTAAAACTTTCACACTGTGCTCCGTGTTTTACTGATTGGTTGGGCATTACTTAGGAAAATTCCATAGTGGTATTTCTTGGATTCTTAATGTGCAACTTAAACATAATATGAAGAGGAGGAGAGCCATAAGCCAGAACATTTGGCAGAAATTGTCTTTATGAATTAAGAAAAAGAAAATGAAAAGTATTATTAAATTTCTGTGTTTGTCTAAAAAAGTGGCATATGGATGGCATTTAGAACTCTAAATGAATTGAACGTAAATCTGGGAAAGGGAGATAGTAGTGGAGCAGGTGACTAGTATTGAACTAGATTCCTGTTATGTGACTTCAGTTTCCAAAGAGAAAAACCAACCGAGAAATCTCATTTCAATCATTGTAAACTTCCCTCTATCTATAGTCTCATTATAGCTGTAGAGATCAAAGCAAAGACGATAAAGAACATGTATATTTAATTTTTTGTCATTGTAAAATTGTTAAGGGGCCCTCCCCCTCCAGCTTCTCTGACTGCACAGGCCTGCAGTGTACAGTCAGATCGTCCCTGCACCAGGCCTCAATGCTGCCAGGGAGTAAAAGCAGAGGGAGAGGCCCTTCAGTGTCATATCAGGAATCCCAATGCCAGAGGACAGTCAGCTTCTAAGTTGGCTTTCCTCTGGGCCTGGGTGGTGCTATATATAGACCAAGGGTCATTTTATACTTAGGGTAGAAATCAATCCCAGTTTGGGGAAATATTATTTTTAAGCTTAAAAGGTTGACTTGTGCCATTATACATAGTATGTAATGTTACATCTTCCAATCCTTTTAAAATAAAATGAATATTTATAATGGATATTTAATAATTGTTATTTTTAAAAAGCAGCCTATACTCCTTATTTATGCATGACTTTCCATAGTTTCCATAGTTTAATTCAGAATATTAAATGTTAAACAAGGTGATAAGGGCATGTTTAGAATATTTTACCACGTTGGACCCGAAAAGTAGGCCAGAGCTTTGTAGAGGTTGGACCCCAGTTCTGTCCTCATTGCTTGTAATTAGTCATTGGATGTCAGAATTGTGGTCTTCAGATCAGAAGATGGACCACATCTGAGAGAATGAAAACCAGGTATTGAGCAAACTAACACACAAGACCAAAAGCAACACATGCCCTTAACTGGAATAAATTCGTAGTCCTGTAATTAGGTTAGGAAAAGTGATCAACAGACGTTAGCTTTCAGGTCCTCGGTTGCAGAGAGCTTGCTTGAGAGCAGTTACTAGGAAAAGGAACCAGGGCGCACACATTTGTTGGGGAAGTCAGGAAAAGTGGTGTTTTCTAAGAGAGGTGGATTTGAGGAGGCATTTTCTAGCGTTTGTGTGCTTGGGGACTTAGGCTGCATCCCAACTAGTCACCATCTACCAGACTGTGAAGCCAGTGAGGACAAGGATGCTCAGCTTTTTTGCTTTTTTTTTTTTTTTTTTTGCCAGTCCTGGGGCTTGAACTCAAGCCTGGGCACTGTCCCTGAGCTTCTTTTGCTCAAGGCTTGAGCCACAGCTCCACTTCTGGCCTTTTCAGTGTATGTGGTACTGAGGAATGGAACCCAGGGCTCCATGCATGCTAGGCAAGCACTCTACCCCTATGCCACCTTCCTAGCCCCTTGCTGAGCTTTTTGTCTGTATATCTAGCGCCTAAGCGTGTCTGGGCACTTCAGTAGTCATTCTCTAATGTCTGTGGAATGCATAGGACACATAGGCCTTGGAAAGCTTTGTACCTTCGTGGTGCTCAGTACTTATAAGAATTTGGTACCCAATTGTATAAAAACATCTTTAACAAGCCCAAGTGCATTCCACAAAAAGACAGCTTAGCATAGTAAAAGGTTTAACACGTAAGTGTTCGGGCTGATTTGCTCAGAGAAGACTTAGGTCTGAGAGCAGTATAGGTACTTGAAGGCCTGGTATTGTCCGTCTGCATCCCAGGGACTGAACTAGGATTTTATAATCATGGGGAGGCAGATTTCTGTAGACATCTATTCAAGGCAAGTTTTTTGGTGCTATAATATGGTGGAGGATACAAAGTATGCTTTATTAAGCATAAATTCTGCCCTAGAGTTGTATGTAGTCTTACCATGATGTGTAAGCAATGGCAGCTGTTACAGGTTTAAAGGTGGAAAAAATAGCAGTTCAGGTTGTTGGCAGTGAGTGCCAAAGATCTCACTGAGATTATTATTATGTTAAGTTTTTAAAGGGTGAATATGTATTGTTCAGGAGGAAGGGATCTGGATGGATGGAAAGGCCCTAACACAGGAACGAAACAGCATAGTGCACTGGAGAAAATAAGTTCTTGTAGGAGGAAATAAGAAATAAATATGACTCAGAGAATGTTCCAGAAGTAGTCTCTGTGTCCCCAATCTCAGGCCGCAGGCACTCTCAGCAGGGTTGGAGACCATAGTGGACTATAGTGAACAGTTGAGTAGCAAAAAATCAGAAGCTGGCCTTTCTGTTTTTCACCTCCTTTTTCAGTTATTCAAAAGCTGTTCCAGTCACAAGAGGAACCATGAAAACATAGGAAAAAATAGAAAAGAATTAAGGCTAACTGAACCCAGAGAAGAGTAAATAGGTGCCTGGAGTAGCTCATGGAGAGCTCCAACTGTCAGAGACCATGTGCAAAGAAAGGAATCGGCATGCTAAGAAAAAGGAGTGTGAACTAGACAGCAGTGTTTGAAATGGGAAGGCTCAGGGTGAACTTAAGTTTATAGAAAATCCTAAAGTTGTCAAGAAAGCTTTTTTTTTAAAGCCGGATTCAAGGCAAAAAAAGAAGAATGGCTAAAGTAATGGTAATGGACTGACAGGAAGGCAATTTTTATTTTCTTTGACAAAGAGATAAAATGTGGCTGGGGAAAAAAAATGGAAAGTGAAAAAACAAAAACCTTGCCACATTTATGTGTCCCAGAATTTGCACATGCTTTCTGTGGACAAGTGCTAGGAAATTTGGAGAAACCATGGAGAAGAAATGGTGACAGGACAGAAGCCTAGAAAATGGGTTTAAATAGTATTCCAGTTTTCCAAATGTTGTGAACGGCTTTAGCTGTTTTTCTAAAATAAAGATCTCATGAACTAAACAAATGTGAACAGTCAGTGTTTGAAGGAGGTGGGGGTTTAAATAGGTATAAAGAACAAAACACTTTTATCAGTTTTTAAGCCCAATATTGAAAGACTGAAAGCAAATTGTTTGAGAACTTAAGTTGTTCAATGCTGAAAATAACTGATTTATGTGTTCATTAAAACAGGTTGGATAGAACCTCTGCTTAGAATTGTTTTTTAGCTGTGTTTAAATTTTTGTATGTATTTCCAAGTAATAAAACTATATTTATAAAACATCCCTATATTTGACTTTGTACTACTTCATGATGTTAGAACTATTGTGCTGTGAGTACTCAGCATCTGCAGGAGCAGAGTCACTAGCTTTTTCAGGCTTAGAGTTGGTTTTCCACATCATTTAATTGCACTCCATGTGCTGAGGAGTCAACCCAGCCTCTATCCTCATTGAAGCATCGCTTCCCTCTTCAGTAACACACTGTTTAAAACTGTGTTGGACTGCGGAAGAGGAAAAGTGCCGCATACGAGTTCTCAGAATTACCTCTCTCCACTCCCACCTTTGCCTAGCAGATACCTCCTATTCACCCATCGGTGCTCGTAACAAGCTCAACCCTAGGGTCCCACAGGTTTTGGTGTTTTAGTTCAGGGTTAGGAGAGGATCTAACTCATGTGAGTGCAGGTTGTAAAGAAAGTAGATTGGAAAATAGAAGAAGAAAAGAAAACAAAACAATCTTTGTGTTCTGAGCAACTTGGTAATGAACTGCTCAGGAAATCTCTGATGTTAATTGAACACTTGAATTAAGGACAGGATTGCAAATCTCAGCTATCTGGTGATTTTGTCAGTTAGCAATGGGGGAGAATGCAGTCACCTTTAGTATTGTTTGCCAAGCTGTTTTGGGGGTCCCAAGAGTTTCTATCCAGACTAAAAGCTTCCAGTGCTAGGGATATAACTCAGGATATAGTAGTGCCTTCTTGGGCAATGTGGAGTGCAAGGAGTTTTCTCAGAAACTATTTATCTGTAAGGTAGATCAAATGCCTAGTGTGTTGACAGAAAAATGCCACCTGTACTTTAGAAAACACCATGCATTTTTTTCACCATTGAGTACAAATTTTATTTAGCAAAAAGACTTGATTCTTTTTTTTTTTTTTTTTTTGGTCGGCCGTGGGGCTTGAACTCTGGGCCTGGGCGCTGTCCCTCAGCTCTTCAGCTCAAGGCGAGCGCTCTACCACTTGAGCTATAGCACCACTTCCGGTTTTCTGGTGGTTTTATTAGAGATAGGAGTCTCACGGTCTCTCCTGCCCGGGCTGGCTTTGAACCGCGATCCTCAGATCTCAGCCTCCTGAGTAGCTAGGATTACAGGCGTGAGCCACCAGCGCCCGGCAGACATGATTCTTTCAAAATCAAAATCAGTGACACTTTTTTAGGCTTCCCACTTTGCTGATTTCTTTGTTTGTGACTGTGCTGTCATTTCCCTTAATTTCAAGGTGACTTGGGAGAGTGGGAGTCAGGCATGGTGGGGCTCTAGGGAAACCTCCAGTGACAACCCTACATTTATTTTCCAATCTAAGTCTTTAGAGAGTGTGGGCTCTACTGGAGGGGACTCATGAGGGATGGGCAGGACCAGATGTCCCTGGAAGCCTTGGTCATCATTCATGGTTCACTGTAGGATTTACTGGGTCTCCTCTGTGCTATAACTGGCTCACCCACCAGTTCAATGATACCTGATTCCATGGATCCTGCAGGGTGCCCACTACAGTTCCAACACTGTGATGTGTTGGGTGCTGACATGGTCAAGATGGAAAACACCATGCATTTCTCATTCACTATATGAACAGTATGAACTACTGTTGCCAGGCTCAAGAGTCAACAGTAGCCAAAAGAGACTACCCTACTAAAGTGGAGGTAAAAGGTGAATGAAGAAAAACCCTTTAAGGCGGTTGTAATGGAGTGGCCTTGCTGTGTTGTCAGCCCAGGGAACAGGAAGTCTCCAGCCTTGGGTATTGGAGCCTTTCCAACAGGAAGAGAATTCTTGCCTAGGAACAGAAGAGCTACACTTAACCCACATCAGGCTCCTCTCCTCCAGGAGGATTGTATTTGTAAACATGATTACTCTTCTATTTCTTACTATAATGGTTAACCATGTATTACTAAAACGGCTGAAACAGCAGTTTCTCCCAATTCATACACTCAGATAAAAGCTCACACAGTTGCCTGTTTAGTCAAATACACATGACATAGATTGCATATGTTACCGTTTGGTTATCATTCTTAGTGAAGGTGAAAGAGATTTCTACGCATATATATATAGAGAGAGAGAGAGGGAGAGAGAGAGAGAGAGAGTTGTATATATATTAATGTCTTTATTGGATTCACATTCCCAGGGATTTTAAGTTAATTGGTCTTTTTTTCTAATTTAAAAAATTTTAAATTTAGGGGCTGGGAAGGTGGCTCAGTGGTAGAGCGCTTGCCTTGCATGCCTGAGGCCCTGGGTTCGATTCCTCAGCACCACATAAGCAAAAAGAAAAAAGCCGGAAGTGGCGCTGTGGCTCAAGTGGTAGAGCACTAGCCTTGAGCTGAAGAGCTGAGGGACAGTGCCCAGGCCCAGAGTTCAGGCCCCACGACCGGACCAAAAAAAAAATTTTTTTAAATTTAGTTTCATGGTCAAGGTGGTGGACAGAGGGGTTACAGTTACATATATAAGGTAATGAGTACATTTCTTGTTGAACATTGTTACCCTCTTCCCCTTTTTCTCCCATTTTCATTCCCTGCCCCAGTTGTAAAGTTCATTTCTAGAATAGTGTCTTGTGAGTATTGCTGTTGCATTGATTGGTTCACCCTTTGTCCTTTGTTTCATCATTTAACGCTCTTTTATTGATGCACATTTCCTTAAATGTTGAGAGAGGTCATGTCACAGAATAATAGTAACAGCCACTCACATTTGTACAGTTGCTATGAACCAGGAACCATTCTGGACATTATTTTTTTTTGTCGGTTGTGGGCCTTGAACTGGGCCTGAGCACTGTCCCTCAGCTCTTCAGCTCAAGGCTAGTGCTCTACCACCTGAGCTTCTGAGCTACAGCGCCACTTCCGGTTTTCTGTTGGTTTATTGGAGATAAGAGTTTCATGGACTTTCCTGCCTGGGCTGGCTTTGAACCGTCATCTTCAGATCTCAGCCTCCTGAGTAGCTAGGATTACAGCCGTGAGCCATCGGCGCCCGGCTTCTGGACATTATTTTAACCCCCTCGACCACCTCTCTGATACAGGCAAGGTGGGGGAAAGTTAGGATGTCCTGAGTTGACGCCCACTCCAGATAATGATGTTTCTTTTGTTGTTGTTGTTGATCATGGAGCTTGAACTCTGGGTCTGGGTGCTGTCTGTGAGCTCTTCAACTCAAGGTGAGTGCTCTACTACTTGAGCCACAGCACTACTTCTGGTTTTCTGGTGGTTGACTGGAGATAAGGGTCTCATAGACTTTCTCAGCCTCCTCAGTAGCTATGAGTACAGGCGTGAGCCACTGGCCCCGGGCTCATAGTCTTTTATGTGTAATAAAATCTATGGAGGAAAGGGAACTGTGAAGAGGGCCATTTTTTTGTTTTCATTCCTACTAACTGAAAGACTGTTGGTGGAAGGAGTATATGAACCTTCCTTAGCATTAGACACCTGGCTCAAATCTTGTCAAATGCCTACCTTATCTTAACTTTGGCTTGCCTTTGCCTAATTCCACCTCTATGAGAGCCATCGCACTCCTGCCTCTACTCCATTTCCATCCAACTAACTAAATCCTTCTTGGGTTTCTACTGCTCCAATCCTGAGACTCTTAATGATAAGAGAGCAAATAATTTAAAAATGTCCACAGCATTTCTTTGGCAATTCAAGTCTTCTACTCGTTTCACATCATAACTTAATTTGTATAAGAGACATACGTTGACCTCCAAATTCTGTAGTTTTCAGTTTATAACTTCCAATTCCTAGATGTGTTTTCCCTATTTCTTCTATTGCATCTTCTTCATTCCAAAAGTGGGCAGTAAGCCAAGATTTTTAAAATATTATTGTAAAGTTGATGCCCAGAGGAGTTACCATCTAAGTCATGTAACGAGAATATTTCTTTTTGGACAATGTCTCCCCTTCCCTTGTTCTCTCCCAGTGTCCCCATCCCATCCCCACCCACAAGCTGTATAGTTCATCTTCAACATAGTGTCTACTAAGTACCACTGCTGCATTTGTTCATCTTTTTCCCCTCCATTTGTGTTCCCCTACTTCCCCAAAAGACATAAACAACAACAACAACTACAACAAGCCATCTCCACCAACAAGGGAAGAAAAGAAAAACCTTGTTTCCATGTAGTAAGCCAAGATTTGATATGTCTTGGAAAGCTATTGCACATTTGATGTCCCCAGAAGACGATAGGACTTGCAGATTTTTGCCTCATTCCTCATCATCTGAGAACCAGACACAGAGTGTAGTTTCCTATTGTCCTCTCATCACTGTTTTGCATGCCAAGCATTGAATATTCCAAGAAACTGATCATAAGATGAAAGAAGCATACAATCTACTTGAGGAGATCCAATTACCACCAATGAAATCATCACCCACAAATGAAAATGGAAGCCACTGAATTTCATTCGTGGAGATGGAAAACTGTGTTCAACACAAGGGTAGATTTCTTGGTGTTTCTCAGTGGGTTACCAATAAATACTTATGGAATGAGTAGTAGACAGAACACGGGCATCTACATTGTACAAAGGATCTCACAAACAAATTTAAGACTTTTTGGGGGGGGGGTCACTTGTATGGCTTCGACTCTGGGAGGGCCTGGATACTATCCCTGAGTTCTTTTGCTCAAGGCTAGTGCTCTACCATGTTGAACTACAATACTACTTCCATTTTCTAGTGGTTAATTGGAGGTCAGAGTCTCAGAGTTTTTCCTGCCCAGACTGGCTTTTTGAACCTCTCCTCAGATCTCAGCCTACTGAGTAGCTAGGATTGTAGGCATGAGTCACCGCACCTGGTGACAAATCATTTCTTACAGGTGGAAAAGGAAGGCAGAGACTGAACCAAGGAAGAATTCAAGCAAATTTGAAATTTATTAGCATCTTGGCAACAAGAGCAAAACAAGAAACTCGAGTTGTATCTGCTTCCATCTGACACAATGCAAAGCATTGATTCCTTTAAAGAATTAATATGCTTTAAGTAGATCCAACGACCCTAGTCTGTATTTCCATCCAACCAGCTTCATCATGTGGCTACACTTAATTCCTTGGTGTCTCCTTAATTCAGTAGTTACCTTGTCTTGGACCCTTGTTTGCTTGCAGTTCTCCTGCCACTTGAACACACTGCCCCTTTTTAATGAGGCATCTTTCCTAGGCTTTGCTCAAATACTTCCTTGGTCCACAAAACCCCTCTTACGCATGTAGTTTCTTCCGTTGTAGCCATGTATTTATTCATTCCTCTCTGAAGCTACTTGACACTACAGTGTTTGGTTGTGACTTAACCTGCCTTAGAGTAAACACATGGCTTACTAGGTTAGTTTCTTCTATCTTGAATAAGTATCTGCAAATATCTAAGTCTCCTATCTTTCTGTCCATTATGGTATCATGCAACACACACATGAATTCAGTTGGATACTTGTTGAACAAGTGACTTTATTGCATGTTTTCTTATTCAAGCACCCCTCAGCAACAGAATAAATGACAGACGTTAGTTCAGTAGGCAATGGAGTTTGCAAATTTGTCATCAGGAGCCTTTTCTTGTGCTGACCTTTGACAACACCAAAGGTTTAACAATAAAATGGAAGACATTTTAGTAGGGTTAAACAGATGTAAACCATCTTTCAAAAGAAATGCTCTAATATTTGAAAAAAAAAGTAGTATTGAATATCCTTCTCAGATACCCCTTAGTGAGGGTTCTCTTGCAAGGTGTAGGCCCATGGTTAGTGAAGGCTGGAGGATCTCTGCTGTAGAGAAGGAGCCTCAGGATTTGCCATCAGCTACACGGGGAACAAGGCTAGCATTGCTTTGAAGGTTGACTAACTGGAGGCCATTTCTTTCAGGGAAAAAGGAATTCCTTTTTTGCCTGATTTGCACTGTTGAAGCTGAGCTGAAAGACCGACCCCAAGGCTCAGCACACGTTGCTGTGTGGCTGGCCTCACACAAACACAGTGAAACAACTTTAAGCATTTGTTTCCCTAAGCTACTCTGGGGTTGTAATCCTAGATCTTGTACAAACTAGCTTGGTGGTCCTGGAAAATCATTTGTCTTAGATACCTTTTTAACTTCAGTTTATTTGCTTCATTAACATTGCACAGATGTATTATTGTCACAATAATTTCTTCCAGGGTGACAATGTAGACACTGGATTTTTTATTTTTGGCCATTGATTATAATGCTCTAGAAATTTCCCCTCGAAAGTGTCAAATGCATGAGTATAGTGAGACTCACCTGCTAGAAACACAGTGTTAATAAAAAACAAAAACAAACCCACAAACAGAAAGTGAAACTTTGATGGGAATCTAGGCCAGAAGAGAAATGCTCTCCCTTTTATTAGGCCTCTGACTGCTTAAGAACATCATCTACCATTCATCAGCACCCGAAAGCCACAGCCGCATTCTATTTGTTAATGAGAAAATGTCCTGTGTGACAAGAGGCTTTTTGCCTTTCTCCCTTCCAAACATGTCACAAGGCAGCAAGGAAGGCAGCGGGGCCCCGAGAATCACCTTTCTATTTAAGGGTAACACAAAGCATCATTTGGTTTCTGTACTTTCACAGGTGGAAAATATGTTATGCATTTATGCTACAAGTTTTCACCACCTCTGGTGTGTGTTTAGTCAAACAATTTGGCACTTAAAGATAGGCCAGCAATCCTCAGAGGGAGGCGTGTGGGCACGAATTCATTAATTCTGTAAGTTATGACAGATGTTTGTAAAAGCATTAAAGTTTCTCTTAAGACTATATAAGAAGCATTATTTAAATGATGATAGTCTATGGATATAACAAGGTGTGAAGGTAGAGATTCTTAAAATTATAGTATAAGGACTAAATTTAACACTATATTCTTCTGTGACAGCCATTGTTAGAAATTTGGAGGCCAGGTGGTATGATGGCTTACACTTGTAATCCCAGCTACTTAGAAGGCAGAGATAGGAGGATCATGTTCAAGTCCAGTCTGGGCAAAAAAATTAGTGAGATTATCTGAAAAATAATAGTAGTAAAGGCTAAAGGCGTGACTCAAGTAGCAATGCTTGCCTCAGCACTGAGTTCAAGCCCCGGTACCACCAAGTAACTTTCATGCTGCTGGACACTTGGAAGTTAATCACAAGTTTAGGGAGAGAGGAAATGAACAGTGCATGGGATTCCAAAGACTGATGACCCGCCTCAATTTTGTGTCAAAGCAGAACTGGGTGTTTTCTTGTAGTTTAACATCTCCTTTCAGCCCAGTACCAACTTTTTTGCCATTGGATAATTCCCCACAACTTACTGTCCCCCTATAAACTGCCCAGCTCAGTGGCTGGCCAACTGCATTCCATAAACATTCATTCCTCTATCAGTGTTTTTCTTTTCAAATTAAAGGCCACAACCCATTTGCAGAATACAAAATCAATTTAGTAGGTGGCAATGAACAACAGAATGTCTTCAAACAATAAAATCATCAGGGTGTGTGTGTGATAGAAGATCATACTGCATGGTGCTGATGCTGAGTTTGGGTGCATTTCTTATCGTGGATCATGCTCAAATGGCTAAGTCTCTACTCTTATAATAATCTGAAAAAAAAATCTCAGATTGTTACATCTAAAAAGTCCCCAGGAATGCAGCCTTTATGTAAACGTGTACTTACAAAGTTTAAGGCCTTCTGGTCAAAGTGTTCCTGGATAATATGAAGCAAGGAGAAGATAAATTTACCTTGACACCATAGGGCATAACATTCAATTTTAAGATCAGTTTTTGTGTTGTAATCACTAATTGAGCTTATAAGCACTTTGTGCTTTACAGGTGTATCATTTATAGTTAAACACTTCTAGCAATTTCTAACAAAAGCCGGCTCTTGGTTTCTGCTATGAGGTAATGAAGTACAATTTCAAAAACACTTCAAGTTATAAAGGTTTTTAAAGGACTGTAACTTCCTAACCATGAAGGGAACATACCAATCCTAAGGTACAATGAATGCCAAAAGATAAGAGGACTACATACAGGTTTCCACAGTGGGTCGATAAAAATGTGAAATCCCAGAACATAATGTGAGCTTCAAATCTAGGCTTCCTCTTTCCCTCAGTCCTCCCGAGTCCCTCACACTACTGCTAAGGTGCCTGAAGTGTGGCCCATTTGGGGTAAGCAGAGTAGAATACTATGCAGTGGCAAAAAAAAGGATCGAACACTGCAAGTGTCAGTCAGTCAGTCCCCTGAGGAACCTTGACTCCTGGGGAAAGATGTTCACTCTGGGATGCAGGTGCCCTTTTGTGATCTCAGAAGAGGACAATGTAAGGCAAAAAAACCAAAAACCAAAAAACAGGTGGTTTCTTCCTATTTCCATTGACTTGGGGTATACAGGGCAAGGCTGCCTGTAACCTTAAATTCTTTCTTTAAAATTAAAGTGTTCAGTTGGGCACCAATGGCTCACACCTGTAATCCTAACTACTCAGGAGGCTGAGATCTGAGTATTGTGCTTCAAAGCCAGCCAGGGTAGGAAAGTCAGTGAAAGTCTTATCTCTAATTATCTTCCACCAAAAAGCTTGAAGTGGAGCTGTGGCTCAGATGGTAGACTGCTAGCCTTGAGCACAGTGCACAGGTCCTGAGTTCAAGTCCCAGGACTGATTCACACACAAAAAGTTAAAGTCTTTTTGTTGTCTGTAACAGTCATAGGTTGGACTAGACCTTGTTTGCTGTCAAAATGTCACGTGTTGGATTAGCACCACAAGTCCTTTATTGGGTCTGAGTCTTGGCTGGCCTTTGTTTACGGTGTGAGAAAGGTAAGCATGGTGCCGACGTTAGGGAGGGAGGGCGGCTGTGGAAAGCAAGGAATGTGTGCAAAGAGCTAACAGCAGGGGAAGCATGGCAGTAACTGCAGTGAGGTAGAAAGCTAGTTCTGGGCTCCCCAAGACCAGCTAAGAAGAGAAGACTGAGAGTCAGAGGCCCCTGGGAGGCAGATACTGAACCAACCCCTGGAAACCAGCAAGTACCCCAGGATTTGGCCTCACCTTGCCCCCATCCTTTTCAATTCTAACAATGTTGGATATATTTGGAAATTTCCTCTTCCTTCCTTCCTTCCTTCCTGGAAGGCTAAACAGTGATGGCAAACAATACAAAATGGCAGATTATGAGAAAAGTACTCATCACACCTGGGTGATCGTCGCACCCCACAAGACAAAGAGCAGCTCAAAAATCAAAGGAGAGAAGGTGAGGGGGTATGGGGGCTTTGAGGTGCAGCGAAGAAGGCTGGCGGTGAACTTGCTGACTGACTCGTGCATCTCCTACCCTGGAGTTCTGTGCTCTTTATTTATAGAAGGCCAAGAAAGAATTCAGAAAAGAAGCCAGTCAGTGTTGGAGATGGACACATGAAAAGAGAAGCCAGCCTCCTTTGCCACTTCCTTATGCTATTAGTTTCCTTCACCAGAAAACAGAGTTGGACCAAATGCAATTGGCTTCACCAAGTGGCTGCCACAAGGCTGTCCTGTGCCTCTTGCTGGGTCGCACTTCCCTACCTGATAGAGTGGCTCCCATCCTTTCCTCCACCGACCAGCTACATTATCTACAGATACATGGCGGGAAGATCTCCAACTCACTTCTACACATCTTAAGTCCTTAGTTAGAGGTTCTGTTTTCACATTTCCAGGCAGAAAATTTGTTCTTTGGAAGTCTTTAAGCTTGACCTGACAGACATTTCACACCGTCAGCTCGGGCTCCTCCATCTCTAACTCCTCCATCCTATCTATCCTGGGCCCACACCACCTGGGCATCTAGCGCTACTGTCTGGACACACGGTGCCCAAAGCTGAGGGAGTGTCCAACAGCAGCAGGGTGCTTGCTAGGATATACAGATCCGTTGGCACCAACCGGGACTGAAGTTGGCTTTTAGCTGCACTTTTTGTCAGTTTGGCTGGGGAGGTCCGGACAGCTGGAAGTGAGCTTCTCCATCATTTTCTGCTTTCTCCTCTGTATCAATTTCCCACCTGTGAAACCCAGCACCCCACCACCAAGTGCAGCTGCAATTCCTGCCACTTTGAAGCCCGCGAGGAGGCCAATGGGACCCCCCACCACGCCTCCGATGAGCGCACCTGCCACAGGCAGGGCTGCCAGCTTGTATTTTGCAGCCTGTAAAAAAAAAAAAAATTCAATTTAGAAATTGAGTTGAGACTGTCTGCCTGTGGTGATGTGCATTTTCCTCTCATTACTCCTGGCAATGCCTCTTTAACTCTTGGTACATAATTAACCTTAGAGTAGAGATTGTACTGGGGTGGGGTGGGGGATGGAGAGGGAGTATTCCACAGGTATCACAATTGCTCAAGATCTCAGAGCTTACAGAAAGCAGCTACTCAGAGCGGACCGCTCTGAATTGATTTTACCTGCGAAACAATCAAGCCACTCATTATAGCTAGCTGGCTTATGTAAGCAGTTTTGGCAGTCACCAAAGCTTCGATGCTGCCACAGTTGCTCCTTGCTAGGCACCTGGGGTTAAACCCACACATCACATCTGCGCCGTGCATCCTTTCACCTCTGTCTGGCCAGACCCCGGCACCTTGGAGCCCTGACTGTCTTAGAATGGAGGTTTATTCTCCTTGAGAAAAATGTTTTCCTTCTGGTAGAACGGGTCCGAGAGAATATTACAACCATTGATTTCTTGCACTACCTATGGGTCATTTCTTCCTTATTTCCTTAATTGCTGGTTCCCTCCACACCAATGAGAGCGGATCAATTGGGTTAATACTGGAGGTTCCTGGGAGCCGGAGCAGCATTGATTTGTCAGCGGGGGCAGAATCTTACCTTCCCCAAGTTTTTGGTTCCCTCTTCAACATTCACAGCAGCACTGTTGACATGGTCGGTGATGCTGTCAATCTTCTCCTGCTGGGACTAGATGCAAAGGAATTATGAGTGAGCACCCCCGCTGCTCCGCAGCAGGGACAGCACACACTATTTTAATTCCTGTAATCAGGACCTGGGGACCTCGGGCTTGCCTTGTTCATTAATCGCATCTGATAAACCATGTCGAAAGTACAAATTCACTTTCATGAAAAAAGGGGAGGCTTCAGTATTAGTAATAAAAGGGTGGTACCTTTAGAGCAAAAAGTCTCTCACACTGAAATTCATCCAAACACACACACACACACGCACACACGCACGCACACCACATTCTCCAGATAAATCTACTTTCCAGGAGGAAAAAAAAAAAAAAAGAAGTCCAAATAAGCATTTACTTGTCCTGGTGGGTTTGATAGAAAAAAGAAAAAAAAAAAATCAAACAACTAAAAGCCTAACTTTCCTTTCTAACTTTCTAACCTTCTTGGAAGATTTTGTTAAAAATAAGCAAATTTACTATTTTAAGAGTAAAATGTGGGCTGGGAAGGTGGCTCAGTGATAGAGTGCTTGCCTTGCATGCATGAGGCCCTGGGTTCGATTCCCCAGCACCACATAAGCAAAAAGGAAAAAAGCCGAAGTGGCACTGTGGCTCAAGTGGTAGAGCGCTAGCCTTGAGCTGAAGAGCTGAGGGACAGCGCCCAGGCCCAGAGTTCAGGCCCACGACCGGACCCCCCCCCCAAAAAAAAAAAAGAGTAAAAATGTTCTTGATCCCATAAGTATAAATGGCTATGTTGTGGGAATCAGATTACAATATGGTCTTAGCTACCACAAAATCGCTGTGCTGTGGTAAGCTAAGATACAGTACTTCAGATGAGGTGTATTAACACGTGTCCTGCACACACCAGCCCCAAGTAACTGCCATCCAGCTGCTGTGACTGTTGGGATGTCTGTGTGGGAGGAAGGTGAGGCTGGGGTGGCCGTTCCTCTCTGTGAAGCCATACTGTGCGTCCTTGCAGTGCTCACTAAGTCTGTTCTAACACTGCCGGGGACAAGGGTGCCTTCCTTGCCGCAGGCGTACACTGCCAACTTTCAAATCAACTTGATGTAGAATCTATGCACAGTAAAATGCACTCATTTTAATGGTGCAGCATGAAGAGTTCTGTCCAATGCATAAACCCATGGAATCACCATTACAATCAGTGCAGCACTAGTTCTGGTTTTTGTTCTTTATCTCTTCTTCTTCTTCTTCTTCCTCCTCCTCCTCCTCCTCCTTCTTCTTTCTTCTTCTTGTCCTCTTCTCTCCTCCTCCCCCCCTCCTCCTCTTCCCCCTTCTCTACCTCCTCCTCCCACCCCTCCTCCTCTTCTTCCTCTTCCTTCTTCCTCTTCCTCCTCTTATAATTTTCAGGGGAAAGTGCAGCAGTTCTTAAAACAAGATTGTGGCTGCCCATGGTGGTTCACATCTGTGATCCCAGCTTCTCAGGAGATGGTGCCCACCTGTAATCTCAATTACTTGGGAGGTGGAGATAGGAGGATTACAGTTGAAGGCCAGGGAAAAGCATGAAACTCAATTAAAAACAAACTAAAGCAAAAGGGGATGGAGCACGGCTCTGAATTCCATCTCCAGGATGACAGAAAAGCTGCACAGTTGCTGTGTGCCACTCCAGACTCACAGATTCAGTGGGCCTGGGGTAGAGTGGGAGAACCTGTGTTTCTAACAACTTTCTTGGTGAGGCTAGATTTGTCATTGCCATTTCTCACACTTTAAAAATCACTGTTATACACAACAAGACTAAGGGCATGACCTTTGGCCAGATGTTCTGTGTTCAAATCCAGTATAGCCACTCTGAGCCCCTAAACAAGTGCCAGTAAATCTCATCAACCAAATAATGATATTTATGCCTGGTAGAGCTGAAAGGATAAACTGGGCCAGCTGTGGTGGCACATGCCTGTAATTCCAGCTACTCAGGAGGTGGAGACCAGGAAGACTAAGGTTTGAGGCAAAAACATTAGTGAGATCCCATCTAAACCAATGAACTGTGTATAATGTCTTTTATCTGGCATCCAGCTATATAGAAGGAAGAAAAGAACAATCCTGGACAACAACACAACTAAAACAACTAAAATAGGAGCTATGGGTGTGGTTTAAGCACTGACTTAGCAAAAGCAAGGCCTGAGTTCAAAAGCCAGGACTCCAAATAAAGGTGGTGGCATAAAATGAGACGTCTACAAAGTATGAGAGGTAGTCAAGGACACACTCACCCTGAAAGTAAAGCTTTTTCCTCCTATAATGTCTGACTAGAACTCACTCACTGCATTTTTATTTTTTCTCAGATAGTAAAACTTCTCTCTTTTTCTGACTATGGAAGCAAAGGTGCTAAGGACTGGGTGACACCTGCAGTAATTACAGGTGGCATTAAACTGGCATCGGAGTTGTCCATCAGTATCAGCAGAATGCCAAGCTAGACTCCATTCAGAGATGAATCTGGTCACCATTTGTTCACTGCATCCTTGGCCTTCTGTGCTGGCCTAAACCACACACACACATATAGAAGGCACACAGTCTATGAAGGTTCCTAGCAACAGTGGGGCTCAGGGCCTCCTCCTGTCTCCCAGCTCACTTCCTCTTTTGCTTCTGATTTATGTTCGTCTTATCTTCCCAGGCCACCCACATCTGACAGTCCTCTAGCCCCATGCCTGCATTTTATTCTTTAGCATGAATAAGTGTGATCAGCATCTCTTTAGCAACGGGCTAAGCCATGTGGGACACTGTAGTATTGCTCCAACTGGAATAACAAAGAGATCTCTTTTTAAAGAAAAACAATTCTCAAGACTCTAAAGGTATGTCTATGAAATTTATTTTTAAGGGACATTGATTTAGGTACCCACATTGGCCTGAAAATAACAGACTCTTGATGGGAACCTCAGGGAGCTTCAGATTCTGAAGAAAATGTGATTTATTCAGTTAATACTTATCAAGAAGAATGCAACATATATAAATAATTTTTTTAAACTAATAGGGAATTACTTTTTCCTTGAAAACTTTTGTTCACTTGTAGACCCAGCATCTTCTCTATAAAATATTGGTAAAACATTCCACAAGTTCATTTCCAAATCCATCAATTATTTCTCCGTCATCACTTCATCAATAATAATGCTCTTCATTGGAGAAATAGTTGTGCAATCTTATTGATGTGCTTAGAAACCTGTGCATTTCATTAAGATAATGCTAGAACTTTCCCTTTATTCCTCCCTAAAGCCCTACCCGAATCATGTGCAATCACATATACAGAAAAGCTCAGAAACAAGTTCGAACACTACAGGATTTAGAGTCAGATGTAGGATTATATGGGCCTGAGCAAGTACTAAGCAGTAGGATGCCGACCTCAGGGGCCAGCAGTAGAGGAGGAATGGCAGGAACACCAGTACTAATACATGCTTAGGGTAATGGTAGTGGCCAACATTGAATTTTAGGTAAGGAATCACGAGGAAACCAAGAGGACAAAGGCAGGAAAGCAGTGGGGAACGGTGGCAGGAAGAGAAGGAGTAATGGACCTCTGCTCATGTAGCCTCTCCGTCAGTTTCTCAGCCCTCACTGCTGACAGTCCCAGAGGCAGTCAGTGGAGGAGGCTGATCTAGTCCAGTTTCTATGGATCCAGAGTACGATTGGTTTTCAAGACCCATAGGAAGAAGGGAAGAGCTAGACATCACAGGGGGATCAGCAGCAAGGGTGACATGCTGTCATAGCAGGGGAGGGCTGTAAAGAAAGAACACCTGTGCAAGATAAGGCTAAAGGCAGGGGGGAGCAGGCTGCCTGTAGGTGTTAATTTGTTAACAGTTATTGGGCCATTCATGTTCTCTCAATGGCTTGTAAGCCCATTTCATTCTGGTAAAACGCATACAACTTTACTATTTTAACCAGTTCCAAACACATGATTTCCTGGAATCAAGTACATTTGATATGCTGTGCAACCACCAGCGCTGTCCTCTGAGTTCTTTTGATACTATTCTCTGGTCCTCATAGGGCTTAGCATGGCGCCATGTACATGCAAGTACTCCTGAAGTTCACAGTTCACTTGCCTGGATATTATTGTGTCCATGTGACAAGAGGATGTGGTCACTCTAGTTTTGTTCCAGGTCATTCTGTACCTAAATGGAGCTTCTGTGAGTCCTTAGCCATGTGGTCATGAGAACTCAGTCACCCTGGGAATAATAATCAGATTTCCCTTTGAACTTTTGCCAAATAGAACTCTGCCTCATATCCTTGCACAGATTATAATAAATGGGACATTTATATAGAGTTGTGGCAGTAGCCAGAGCCTTCCTGCCTGAATCCTCTTTAGACTGGGGTTAGAAGCTGCTTCTGTTGCATCATTGAACCTAGAACTGTTCATTCTATAAACTTTTACTTTCCCCTCATGGGCCCATCCCACCAGACGGAAAATACATTTATCTTGAGAAGAACTTTTTACATATTTACTTGGTTTTAAATCAACTTCATTGAGGAATAATTTATGTACATTAAGACATATTTTTAGTGTATGGACCAATGGCTTTTGGCAAACGTATATACTTGTCTACATAAACATATGTATAGCTAGGTATCTATTTTATAAACTGCACTAGATTCAGAGATCATTAGTTATAATGACTGAACTAATCTTATTTCAAAACAGCAAATATTTTGGGGATTCTTGTACCATTTCTTGCTATATGTAAATTTACCAATGGATTCTACAAATATCTAATTTGAAGATTTCTATATTTTGTTTCTTTTGAGTTGGACACATCAGAAATAACTCAATTTACTGCATCCAATTTTAGTCATTATAGTTCAAGAAAATACCCACAAACTAGAACATAATCCAAATAAGGGGCTAGTGCTGGAGAGTCAAGGAATCCTACCATAGAATGGAAGAAAATCAAGGGTTCTTAAGAATTGAACATCAGGTTAGGTGGGGGAGGGAGAGGAAGGTTCTAAAATCTTGAGAACACCTTACATGGAATAAAAACAAATAAAACACTTGTTCAGTCAGGGCGATAATACCAGGAGAAGTTACGATACAACAGACCTTGCATACGGAGGAACTTCTAAGACTTACAACTCCAAGTGGCATACCAGAAGTGTCAAATATCCCTCCAGTGAAATTGCTAGAAAGAAGCTAAACATCATGTATTTGACAAGGTGGAGCAAAGAGGAAAGAGGTCAGATTCGTTAGTTGGCCTCTTACGTCTTTTCTCATTTCAATTATGAAATGGTATTATCTGGGAACTTCTAACTTAGGAGGCAGATCTCAGGACTCCTTTTAGAGAAGTCAAACTTAAAGTTCATGGTTTGTTGATGAACAAAGAACTAAATCTAGACAGAGCATGAGCAGAATCAGGCTGTACCTGTGTCTCTGTATGTGTGTGTGCATGCCTGTGCACACATACACACTCATACCTTTTACCTCCCCATAACCGTAGAAAGAAAAAAATAAGAACATTTAGAAAAATGATAGAAAAATCTAGTCTATCTTTCCCACCCAAATTCTTTATGCTCCCTAACCTATGTTAACAGAATCAGTCAGGCCTGATTATGCAGAATAAAGCTTGACTCTTTCTCCAATTTCTGCTAAATCTATCCCAGAAAGACTTCCCATTTGTCTTTTATCTTTTTATTCTTTTTTTGGGGGGTGGGGTTGATTGTGGGGCTTGAAGTCTGGGCCTGGGTGCTATCCCTTGAACTGTGGTAGCTAGTGCTCTACCACTTGAGCCATAGCGCCACTTCTGTTTTTCTGGTGGTTAATTGGAGATAAGAGTCTCACGGACTTTCCTGCTGGGCTGGCTTTGAACCATGATCCTCAGCTCTCAGCCTCCTGAGCAGCTAGGATTACAGGCATTAGCCACTGGCACGTGGCATTATCTTTTTATTCTTTAGCGGTACTAAGATTGAACTCAAGCCCTTATACATGCTCTCTGTAGGTGCTCTGTCACTTGAATCAGACCCCTAGAGCATTTTCTTTCATTATTTTTTACTTAAGTTCTTGCTTTTTGCCCAAGCTAACCTGGATCATAGTCCTCCCATTAACACTTCCCACATACTAGATGTCAAGTATGTACAACTATTCCTCTCTAAGTTTCTACTGGTTGAGATGGGGGTCCCCTCTAACTTTTTGTCTGACCTGACCTTGAACGACAATTCTCCTCTCTGCCTAGTAGCTAGGAGTAAAGATGTAAGCCACTGTGCCTGACTTAACCATTATCTTTATAATGGTGGTGTCATGATCCACATTAAACCCTTAAAACCAATTCTTAATTAGTTTTCTCTCCATGACCTCTTCTCTTCTGCCATCATTCACACTGCTAACTTCCTAAAGTACAGACTTTAATAATCCACTCAAAAATCTATATGGCTCTATAGTGCTTTTAGAGGAAAGCTCCAATCCTTTAGTGTGGCCTTCAGTGCTATCAAGAGTGTGGCCCTCACCTCCTTGCTGGCCTACGCTTTGGCTATCAGCAATGTTTAACCATTTGTGGCACTCACTTTGCTATGAATGTCTTTGTGTAACTGTTCTGAAATGCGGCCCCTATCCCTCCCTGTGAACATTCACTCACTTTTCAAGCCTTTTGAAATGACTACCTCCTTCTGTGACGCTATCCTTAGTGCTTCACTCATGAATCACACGTCGCTATCCCTTGGAACGAAATGTTTCTTCCTGGAGTCGATGGTACTTCATACTTTTACTTGCATATAGTTCTCATACTTGAAAGTTCAGTTTCAAACATCCAAACTTCCCTCCACCCACGATAGAGTCCCTAAGAGCAGACTGTGGGCTTCTTATTTCTCTATCCACCCCTGTCAGACCACCAATGCCAAGCATCTTATACTAACTTGGTGCTTATTAAATATTTAGTCCATTGATAAGGAATGTGATGAGTGAAGATCTTATCTATGTCTCAATACCACTCTTAAAATGATAACTTCTAGGGCTGGGAAGGTGGCTCAGTGGTAGAGCGCTTGCCTTGCATGCTCAAGGCCCTGGGTTCGATTCCTCAGCACCACATAAGCAAAAAAAAAAAAAAAAAAAAGCCGGAAGTGGCGCTGTGGCTCAAGTGGTAGAGCGCTAGCCTTGAGCTGAAGAGCTGAGGGACAGTGCCCAGGCCCAGAGTTCAGGCCCCACGACCGGACCCAAAAAAAAAAAAAAAAAATGATAACTTCTATTAAAATTCTAATCAAAACACAGGACCTCATTAAAGTTTCTCATTTTGATAACTTAATTGTTCTGAGACCCAAACAGTTAAATACTTACATTTACTAGGAGAGAGAAGTCCGTGACCAGTTGGCTAAGTTCAATTAAGTCCTTAAAGAGAGAGAAGGAAATAGTTTTATATCTTACCTTTACAATAATAATAAGAAGAAGAATCATCATAATAATTTGTAACATACCGCTTCCAGAGTTTCCCATGATTCTGCAGCATTTTGATCTGGAGGGATTTCAGGCAAAGCATATATCTGAGTCAAACTCTGGGAACTCTCTTCAGCTTCAGAATTGTGAAATGTTCCTGGATGAACACAGAACTGTGTTTACTGTTTGCTCTTCAGAAAGGAGCTTGCATGAATCGATTCCATAAACCAGCTGCCATGTAAAATGTTTGGTAATTAAATGCAAGCTAAAAGTAAATTGATTATTCTATAAAAACCGAATTACTTATCCTTGAGCAGTTGGCTTCCTAGGTTAGTTAATACATATTTTTGTCTCTACAAAGTCACCTAAAAGCTAGCTACAAATACTATCCAACCAACCTGAATAACCAGCACTAGATGGGAAAGAACCACCAAAGGGAAACTATAGTATTTGGCCAGTGCTCCATTCCCAGTAAACCTTCACACTGCTAACAGTGGTTTTTAAGACATTTCATGGCTAAACACCTAGCCTTATACATGGTTGGTTTAGTAACACGTTTCAGCCACAGTAGGTATCGAAAGTAGCAGTGAGGCTATGAGCAGTAATTCTGTCAGACAGCTTTGGCTAGCGCGCATGCAGCCCTGGGCTCTATCCCAGCACAGCTACTGGGGAGGCTGAGATAGGTAGGAGACCTACCTCGGAGCTTAGCCAGGACAAAATGCATGAGACCCTATCTGAAAAACCCTAAAGCAAAAGGTCTAGGAGGCCTGAATCAAATGGTACAGTACATGCCTGAAAGAGTACAGGGGGACAAGAGAGGAAGAACGGAGGGAGGGAAAGAAGGATGAATAGATGGCTAGGCGTTTCTCAGGATCATTACGAAGCGGGGTGCCAGTGACTCATACCTGTATCCTAACTACTTAGGACACTGAGATGTGAGGATCATAGTTCAAAGCCATCCTGGGCAAGAAAGTCTGTGAGATTCTTATCTACAATTAACCACCAAAAAGCTGTGGTTCAAGTGGTAGAGCGCTAACTCTGAGAAAAAAAAAGCTCAGGGACATCACCCAGACCCCGAGTTCCAGCCCCAGAACGTGCACGCGCACATACACACACACACGCGCGCACATACACACACACACACACACACACACACACTATCACTATGGACCTATTTATTAAAAGGAGCTGTTTGAGACTATGGAGAAGCTAGTAGTTGTTGTAATCAGATTTTAGATTCAGAAAGGAAACCACAGCTGTAGTTTGAAGAACACATTGATGATGGAGTTAAAAGGTGAGAAAGTCAGAGGGTGGAAGCCCAGAAAGGAGACTTTCTAATGTGTCCAGTACAAGATGATGAACATCAGTGCTAGAACATTGGCAGCAGAAACAGGAATATACCTGATGTTTTACTTTTATCTCCTCAGTTTATGCTCAAAACACCTACTATACCACCTAAACATTTTCTGAAAACCCACTATGTGTGATGTTTGCAACCAAAAAAAGAGTGAATAATACATAGGACCTACTCTTGAAGAACTTATATTCTAGAAAAATTAATCATGAAACAACAGGAGAGTCTGTTATTGATATCTATCTATCTATCTATCCCTCCATCTATGCAATATTTTGGAGGCAGCCCCTGATCTTGGCTGATATAGTATGTAGCTGATGGGAAGGTTTCTTGGAAAGGTAGACTTTACTAGGCAGTGAGGAGAAGAATCTACATTCTCGATGGGCAACTAGAATGAACAGGTCATTAGGACAGAAAAGATATAGCTAATGTAAAATCAACAGTTGATGTTACAAAGTAAGAATCACAGAGCTACAAATGTAAGATGTATAGATAATTAGGAAGGTCTTTGACCAGTTGAAGTCATTGGACATTGTCTGCCAGACAATGAACACTTGCTAAAAATAGGTTATGAGCAGGTTGCAAAATGACACATGACCTGGTCTATTCCTAAGAGTTAGTCATTATAAAACTCTATTAAGTGCATATTCTCTTTCAATTCCTTTTTCAATGAAGCTTAAAATCAAATGATACTTTATAAAACCACACAATCACTTTACCTTCAAAGGCGATGAATACGCTACTCTCAAGGAAAATCCTACTTGAATGGTTTAAGAAAGGCATCACCAATAAACACTCATTTTCATTTTCAATCAACACAAATGAATTATGCTATGATCTTTCTTCCAGCTATTATTCCTATAAATAACGAAGATTGAGTAATAACTGCATTATCAGATCAAATGCAAAGAGAACTTTATATTCTTCCCACTCTAACAATTTTTAAAGTCATAATTTATCTATTAAAGAGTATTCAGGGGCTGGGAATATAGCTTAGTGGTAGAGGGCTTGCCTAGCATTCATGGAGCCCTAGGTTCAATTCCTCAGTATCACATAAACAGAAAAAGCCAGAAGTGGCCCTGTGGTTCAAGTGGTAGAGTGCCTGCCTTGAGCAAAAGAAGCTTGGGGACAGTGCCCAGGCCCTGTGTTCAAGTGCCAGGACTGACAAAAAAAAAGAGTATTCAGATGACATACATCCCAGTTTACAACAAAATAAGGAGAGATTGTCATATATAAATTCTTTATCTAAAAAGTAAGATGGGAAATGTTTGACATTTTAAATAAGCATGAAAGATTTCCCTTGATAAGGAATAAGTGTTGAAGTCATTTCCGTTGTACTGGAAACCAAAATGCGTATGTATCTTAGTTCAAATAGAGACTGAAAACAAAGAACTCTATTCTCTTCCATGGAGACCTTGCCTCAATGCACAACTTCTAAACATCACAAATCAACTCTAGGCATTCCTATCAGTTAAGAAAGCAGCCTTTTAGTTTCTACAACTTCCTTATTCATTGACTTCAGTTTATACCACAGTGATCATCCTTTGACTCTGAACCCTTACTTCTATGGATGTACTGAAGCAAAACACTGGGGCAGATTAGAATGACAGGAATGAATGCTGAAGAACCTCAGACTGTGCGGAGAAGAAAAATTGCAAGTGTTTCATATTACCTAACACTCTCAGACAGTTAAGCCTACAGGCACATATATGGGGTGTGTGTGTCTGTTGTGTGACTCACCACTATTCTTCTAACCTCAAAGTTCATTTTAAAACATCATTGGCTATAAAGTCAATAGTTGGAACTAGAAACATTGCTCAAGCGGTAAAGTGCCGGCCGTGAGTGAAAAGGCCAAAGCGAGCGAGGGACCCTCCTCAGGCCCCGGTGCCAGCGCACATGGATAAGTGACGGGAACCAACAGTTGACTCACGTTAGCTGAAGAAATAAACTAAACAGCACGAATTTAAGACTTTTTTCTATCTCTTTTCTTCTCTTTCTACCAATTCCACCAACAAATTACCAAGAATTCTGTACTATATCCAATAATGCATCTAAATTTTCTACTAAACTTCACTAGATTAAGAAATGTTTCACTACAAATCTGCAATAATTCAAACCCATACTTTATTTATTTATTTACACTGTTATTTATTTTTATTTTTTTGCTAGTTGTGGGGCCCGAACTCTGGGCTTGGGCACTGTCCTTCAGCTCTTTAGCTCAAGAGCTAGCGCTCTACCACTTGTGCCATAGCACCACTTCTGGCTTTTTCTGTTTATGTGGTGTTAAGGAATCGAACCCAGGGCCTCATGCATGCAAGGCAAGCACTCTACCACTGAGCCACCTTCCCAGCCCTTATGACTTTCAGTGAAATTAATGAATTGATCATCTATATAAACTTATCTGTCAAAATACAATGACTTCTAAGTCATAGTTTAACTGTAAAGAAGAACTTTTAAGAAATTAAAACCAACAGAAAGTATACTTTCTGAATAATACAATACAAAACTACCTACATGTTTCATAAAGTTGTTTAGTATATGTCTATATCTGAGATAAAAACCTAATATTTCATCAAATTCAATATGCAGTCTAAAGTTCCTGGCAGTTTTAAAATTGGATTCTTTTTGAATATTTCTTTAAAATGTAGTAAGATTTTACCCCTAGTGTGCTGCTGAGGTGTGTGTCCTGGATTGGGAATAAAAACAACATGGAAAGAGGCACTGATTCCCTGTATGACTTGAATCACCTTTCTAAATACAAATCGTATTTGTGGACTCATCATTTCTCTTGGTGGGAAGCAATATACTAAAAATGAAGCTAGGCACAGAACTGAGACAAGAGGGAGTTCCGCAGATCAAGCAAGATTGGCAGAGCAGATTTGCTTTGGAACTCTCAGAACCTAGACAAAAGAAACAACAAAATCATCACAGCTTCCTCCTAAACTTGATATTCTCTCATTCATCAGAGAACATAAAATTTCTTATTTTCCTTGTTACTTCCATCTGTAAATGAAAAACTATTTTTGTATTTGATCTCCCACACAGAAAAGTGGTGGCATTGCTCCTGGATCTCTGCTGATGTTTCCAATCAATTTATTTAGAAGCTGATTTGTAAAGGAAAAAGCATCTTAAGATACTTAACTTCTATGCACATAACACATAGTTTTCTGTGTAGACTCTCATGCCATGAGACTCTAAAGCAAAAATAAGAAAAAGGAGAAAGCACAGGATAAAAATGTGAGAACAGAATCTAGCTAGAAGAGGACTGTGTGGAGGAAATTCCTACTTTACTTTTAAAGCGTTGTGTAACTCAGTTACTTGCATTCTCTTGATTATTATTCTCCTTTGCCATCCTTCAAAGTATTTGTTAACAATGTATCTGACACTAGACTCTAGTGGAAACTCACAATTGGTAAAATACTCAGCTCTTGGTGAGATAGTAGTTCTAAATTCTTTATGTTGCTAATCGATTCATAGTCAAAGCACACCTTATCAAAAGACTATTCAGAATTTGAAATTCTATATTCTGTTTTAGGGATAATCTAGGTAACCTTGTTTTAGAGAAAGAACGACTATCTCAATCAAATCAGTACTAGTTTCAGAGATTTGATTTTGTGGGTTTTATTCTCTAGTATAAAAAATTACGTATTTAATCGACTTGGTCTAACCATTAATTGAGAAGTTTGAGCACTGACAGAGTTCAAAATGAATTTCACCTAGTGTTTATTCTCCCTCATACTCTGTCTCTGTCCTAATCTTTTTCATTTCCCCTATAAACAAGCTTCTTCAAACTCTGTTAACCTTAGTTTTTACACCCATCTGCTTCTTAGGGAGATAACTGCCAGTGAACTGGGTAAACTGCCTTCTTCTAATCATTGCCAATTCCTCTGATGACATATAAACTCGTTTGCTGGGCACAAACAGTTCTATTGTCAGAAACACAAATAATGGTATCATAATACCCAAAGTAAAACTCTTGCGTTATTATTACAACAAAATGCTTCATAGGAACTTACTGCTGATGGGCAGTTTGAAGCTAAACAGCAAAAGATGACCACTGCTCTTTCCAGAAAATGAAGTCAATCTCCCTGTGCCCTGCCATCACAACTGCCTGAAACATGGAACTTTAAGTCCAGTTTCCCCACATATTCATAAGGCATCTCTTTGAATTAACAGAGAAGAACAGTCTTCCTCCTAATACAGAGGGCACAACTACACACGAATGAACAGTGATAGCAGAAACTACACACTACCTAAAACCAGGATTCCCAAATAGTCTGCAACTGAGAGTTGAGCACTAACTTTCCCTCTCTAAAACATTTTGGCAGTGGTTATCCATAGAATGATTGCAGCATGTTAGAGAGTAGAAAACTATATCTGAAAAGGTATTTATTTATATTGATAAAATATTTATGAATGGTTCACTACATGCAAAGTTCTGTGCTACATATAAAGGATACAATGGAAGTAAAGCTACCTAAAAAACTCTGAAGGCTGACTTGGGAGTTTCTTCTTTCAATATACTTCATTTCTTTGTAATCAATCATTAGCACTGAGCATATAAGATTAAAAATAACCTAGATTTAGAGATAGGGTGTGGTAGAGGAGGGTCCTGGGAAGTAAAAAAGAAAAACTGGGCAGGTATAACAACACTAACATTCTATTCTAATTCCTAATTTATTTCTAATACCCTTTCTACAGGATTAAAGGTATCTTATGACATATATGATAAAACAAACTAGAGTAAATTAAGCGATTAACAATAGAATAAAAAAGGAAATAATGGAAACAGCTATAAGATAAAGCCATAGAACTTTGAAAATTTATTCTTGAGTGGTTAAAAATTGACTTTAAGCTTTTTAGTAAGCACCTTGATTAGGATAATCTTACCGATTCTTCCACTCACTACGTGTAAGATAAAAAAATAACCAGCTATATTGACATTTTGACATTCTACTATGTATTAAGATATGTATTAAGATGAAAAACTACTATAATATGATCAAATATGAATTATATTCTTTGAAAACAAGATAATGACAAGTGTCACAGGGCTGTTTCTCACGAAGGTTGACCTCACTGAAGATTTTTTTACGCTATCAGTCAAATTCAGAACTGAGACAGATCTAACTCCCCCTGCTGAAGAAAAAAGGCATGCTTAAATAGGTGACCCCTTGTACCAGAGGGTAAGATGGTGTTTGTTAAACCATAAATCATCTATAGAGAATCTTTAAAATTTTCTTTTTAATACATGGGGAAATGGGCACTTGAATTCATGAAGTTAACTCCAATTCAGAAAGTACACCCTGCAAAATGTCCAGAGTACTCATTTCCTGCCCTCTTGGGGGGTTAAGGATTTGGCATATTGGACTAGCAGTGATCCCTAGATCTACAGATAATGTGCAATCTCTACCTGAAGATATGAGCTTTAATTAACTGCATTCTGTGATCATCAGTAAGAATTAGTATAATACACTACCACCAACAGTCATGGATCTGGTTAACGAAGGCTGTAATAGAGTTGCTTCATCATTAAACTGTTTCTTAAGTTCTTCGACAGATTCCAAGTGGAGCTGGAGAAACTCTGCTGTTGCTGCTGATGCTTCTTCTTTAACAGGATCTATCATTCTTTTCAGGAGCACTAGGTCATCCTTTCGGACTTTCAAACAAAGCTTCTCCATTTCTCGGATATTGGAGCGAAGTTGCTGTAATAGATAACAACAACAGTACTATCTCTTAGTATAAAACATTTATTTTAAGAAGTAATTTTTAACAATAGTTATGAATGTCAATGCCTATATATTATTTACAACAAAATATGTGGTACCATTCTTTCCTATATTCCATATCTCTGACTGGCCAAATCTAGCTCCATATCCTCAAACTTTGGATTTATGTAGCAAATTTTCCTACATTAAATGTAATGACTACAAAAATGAGATACATTTTCACAATAAATCTGACACTGAATAAACACAGGAAAAATGATTTTCCTACTTAACCCATTTCATACCTCCTCTTTGCCAATCTCCTTCCCAATAGTTACACCATATTCCATATGATTGATCATTTATTGGTTGTCCTCCAGTGATCAAGAGGCATTCATGTCATTTTCAGTTTTTAGTTATTACAAACTATGAAACAAGTAGCCTTGTAAGCACATTCTAATATACTATCAAAGTATATTATTAGCTCTGTAGCATATAATAATACAATGCTTCTAGTAAGAATAATTCCCAGAAGTAGGACTACTCAAAGGACAATCTTCCTCCTCTTTCTCTTCCTTTCTTCCTTCTTCTTCCTCCTTCTTCTTCCTTCTCTCCCTCCCTCCCTCCCTCCCTTCCTTCCTTCCTTCTCTTCAAGTTTGGAGATACAGACTTATTATGTAGCTAAAGCTAGCCTCAAACTCCTGTCTCTTTCCTCTAAGTGCTGGGATTACAAGTATATGCCCTCATAATAGATATACTTGTATAATATATATTATACATATACACATACACATAATAATTGTCAGTTCCCTCCCCCCAAAAAAGCTGTTACAATATACATTATCTGCAAACTATGAGTTTCCATTTCCTTCATTGTTGTTACTCGATACCTTCCTATAAATGAAGTTGCTAGATTTTTATCAAATGATTTTTCTCCCCTTTAATAAAAACACCTATAGATGTAATCACAATTTTTCCTCTAATGTGTTGATATAATGAATTGTGCAGAGATTTTTATGGAATAGTCATTTTCATATTCCTGAAATAAACCCTACACAAGAATATATATATATATATATATATATATATATATATATATAAAACTAGTACACTGCTAGTTTCCATTTGCTAGTACTTCATTTGGAATTTTAACATACATGTGTGACTGTGCCTGTATGGGTGCACACAGTATGTATGTCAACTCTGTCTTTAAACAGGGTTAACCCACTTCATTAGATTTAAGGCTGCATTGGCTTCATAAAATAAACAGATGAATTTTCTATCTTTTTCAGTGATCTGTATATCTGGAAACCAAAATTCCCAGCTATTCTTTGAAAACTAAATAGAATTAATTTTTCAAATGTGATCTAAATATGACAAAATAATATAGAAAAAAATTTCTATTTATACAAAATTTAGATTAATTCCTCCTAACATGCTTTCACAAGTAGCACAAGTCATATATATATATGAAACATATATATGTATATATGTTTCCTATACTGGAGAAAGAAAGTACTAGTTTAAAAAACTTAAAAAGTTAACTCTGAAAGAAGTATTATAACATTATATTCGATATTATTACATATAGAGAAAAAAAAATCAACCAAAACTCATTCAGGACTTACTTAGTTATCTAGTGGCAAAGCTGAGGTTACAAAATCAGATTTTCTTAGAAGCCTAGCAAGCATCCTACCAATATCCATGCCTATCTATACAGTGCCTTAATGTAATCAAAAGTCCAAGTTCACTCTAGTAAAATGAAGGTCAGTTCAGGAAAGAACAACTTAATTTCAAAAAACAGCAATTTGTGAAATATTCTGAATAAAGAATTCTGCCTCTCATCTACCATGACCCGCCTTTTACTTCCTTTAACTTTATGTCCATGCTTTTACCATTCCAATATGAGCTTAAAAAAACCAAACAACAACAACAAACACCTCAGAATAAATGTAGATTCTACCAGGTGCCAGTGGCTCACACATGTAATCCTAGGTACTTAGGAGGCTGAGCTCTGAGGATCGTAGTTCAAAGCCAGCCCAGGCTGAAAAGTCACCATGAGAATCTTATCTCCAATTAACCACCAGAAAACTGGAAGTGGCACTATAGCTCAAAGTGGTAGAGAGCTAGCAAAAAGAGCTCAGGGACAGCACTCAGGCCCTGAGTTCAAGCCCATGATCTACCAAAAAAAAAAATGTAGATTCCAAGTATATCATTACGGAGGTATGATTATGTAAAATGTATGCAAGTTTAAAATCGGATGGCTCTACAATAAAGAATAGAGTTTAGATGAACAAAATGGCAATATGAGGGCTCTCAAGTCCCAGAACAGGACTGTTTTTAAGAGATCACCATTTTCTAGCTGTCAGACTTCTTTCTGGACTACAATTATGATGGATGGTCATATAGCTGTTACATAGTCTATATTGATAATTCAGGCAATTCTACTTGGAGAAGCATTAGAGAAAAACACAGATAGATCAAATGACATATTCTTTGTCTTTTAAAGAATGTGTACATATGTCTATGTCCTCACTCAAATAATCATATCCAGACAAGAACTGTCCTACTATGGACTATGAGAAAAGTTCTAGGGAAAGAAAGGCCATACCCATTCAAGTATAAAATTAGATTATAATAACAAAAAATTAACCAATAGCTAATTTTTATTACCAGTTACTGTAAGTTATATATTTAGCTAAGTTTTTACTTTCACAATATATCTTTGAAATATTGAGTATTACTATTATTACTATTACTACTATTTTCATTTTACAGAAGAGAAAAATCAAAGAAAGTTAAAAAAAAGTGCCACCATTATTCTATGAATAAATGATATAACCAAGAATCAAATCCAGGCCACAGATCTTATATTAGTAACAATTATAATAACATTATCCAACAACAACAACAAAAGCAAATCACAAATGCAAGCCATACTGAAAAAATTATGTAATTTTATATAATTACTTTTAAAGTATTTCCTTCAAAAAAAGAAAAAATAAAATTAATTTTAATGATATATTTTCTTTACTCCAGTGTATCTGAAATACTAGCTCAATATGCAATAGATATAAAAACTCCTAATTAAATATTTTATTTGTAGTAGGTTTTAGACACTCCCTGTGTGTGTGTGTGTATATATATATATATATATATATACATATATATATATATATATATATAAGCATGTTTCAACTCAAATTAGCTACATTTTAGTGCTTAAATGTAGTAGCAACCAGGAGATACCACAGAAGCACTCTATAGCACAGCTATAGAGATCCTACAGAAAGAATAGCAAAGCTACAGAGTCTCTCTAAAATCACACAGAATAACCAGGATGACAAAACTGTTCATGAGGAAAATAAAATGTTTCTGCTTCTGGAAATAATATACTAAGTGACTCAAACTAATTCTAACTCTCTCACAAATGACTACTTAAAATGCTAAATAAAAAGATAAATCATGAAACCAATTAAAAGGGAAAAAAATTCAAAAGCATCAAGAAGCAAACAAGGCAATAGGTAATTTTTAAGACAAGAATTGGGCAAAAATGGAACCTAGAAAAATGAGTCCTTACCTTGGGGCCACATTTTCATATCAGAGTGCAAACTCACAAAACTTGGAGTAAATATTCAATATTAAGATATCCTAAGAGCCGAGTGCCCGTGGCTCACGCCTATAATCCTAGCTACTCAGGAGGCTAAGAGCTGAGAATAAAGGTTCAAAGCCAGCTGAGGCAGGAAACTCCCTGAGATTCTGATCTCCAATTAACCATGAGGAAACCAGAAGTGGCCCTGTGGCTCAAGTGGTAGAACACTAGCCTTGAACTGAAGAGCTGAGGGACAATGCCCAGGCAGAGTTCAGGCCCTACTACCAACAACAACAACAAAAGATATCCTAAGAATAAGACACTTGTTGCTTTGGGTTGGAATCTTATCATATCCTGACATAAACCAGCCTTTCTATGAACTGAAGACTGATTTCCAATTTCTTATAATGTGCTCAAAAACTTTATACTCCAAATTGTATAAAGATAACCTTAGAAAGTTAAGGTCTTCAACATATAAAAGAAGCTAAGTAATATCCTGTCAAGAGACAATCTCACCCCTAATTTCAATCTCTACAAATAAAATTTCAAATACAATGCCCACCAATCAAAGAGAACCAACCACATAAGGCGATATATAACATACACAAATTAAACAGCAGAAAAAAACGGACAACAGAAGCATAAAAATGGGTGCCTGATACAGTGAAGTAAAAATGTGGTCTATAAAGCCAAACTTTTTGTGTTTAAAGATATAACGATCCAACCTGAAAGTTTCACAATTGGGAATGATGAAAAGCATCATAGAGCCAGGCACTGCTGGGCAGGAAAGTTTGTGAGACTCTTATCTCCAATTAATCACCAGAAAATGGGAAGTGGAGCTAAGGCTCAAAGTGGTAGGGTGCTAGCCTCGAAGACATCAGCTCAGGGACAGCACCCAGGGAAGGCCAGACCCCATGATCAGGGAATAGGGAAAGGGCCAGGCACCAGTGATCATGTTTTAATCCTAGCCACTTAATAGGCTGAGATCTGAGGATGGCCGTTTAAAACCAAATTGGGCATGAAAGCCAGAGAGTCTCTTATCTCCTATTAACCATCCAAAAGACAAAAAAAATCTTCAAGTTCAAGCCCCAGGACCAACACACACACACACACACACACACACACACACACACACACACACACACTATCAAGTTCAAGCCCCAGGACCAACACACACACACACACACACACACACACACAACATAAAGTTTATAAGAAAACAATGAGCACAGTATAATTTTAAGGTAAGTGTCCAAAGGAAATAATTCAATAAATTGAGTTTTTTTGGTATAGTCTAAGGTGTTTAAAAAGCCCAGAAACTATAAAAGTAAATCTAAAGAAACTCTGTAAAAGTGGTGTGGAGGCTCCTGCCCGAACCCCAGCAGCTTGGAGGTTGAGGCACAAG